GACAATATTACAGTTTTCATAAAGTCAATCAAATAATAAAAAAGGTACCAAATCATCGGCAAATTAGTAGTAGTATTATTTTTTTTGCATAAAACATCGTTAATAAAAAAAAAAAGGAAGAAAAGAAAACAATAAAAAAAGGCCTATACATGTATAAGGTCTGGCAAATTATCAACTCCAATAAAACCGACTTTTTTCCAAACTCTTTTCTCAATTTAAACTTCTGACAAATATTTCTCATTCCAGACTAACTTGACCTGCAAACCAGAAAAAAAATAATTCACGCTTCCAAAAAAAGCTTCAATGCACCCTTGGCCTTCTTAAGACCACATCACAAATTACTCAGAATTTTCTTAAAGTGCTTAGATTTACAGGAAAAAAAATGTCTCTAAAGGGAAGCAAGGTGTATATGGTTTAATTTAGCAGTTGGTGACTTGCATCTTGAATAATTCCGTTCAGGGTGATGCTTTCCGAAAAGGTTGTGTGTTTTTTGGCAGGTTCCTGAATGTGTTGTGTCAATCACAGAGCATTGACACCTGCGTGTTACACTATGGCTTCATACACAGATACTGAAATTTGTATCCTTGTCAAGTCATTTCTTTGTTTTCGTGTACTAAAGTTTTCAAGTTTGAGAGTGTAGTTTCAAAATGCTCCTACTTTAACCAGAATTACTTTCCTGGGCTGAAATTCGGACATTCAATTCCTTACATAAAATACTTCAATTTGCGACAAATCAACATACCTTGGAAATTCCTAGTTTTTGAGTAAAATCCACATATCTATTTCGTGATAACCTTGTGGAGACGTACATTGTATTCACCTATGGAAACCGCCCTGTGGAGACGTATACAATCTTTTGTTCCCTATTGTGCACATGTCTCCAGAGGGTACCGTGTACCAGATCAAGAATATGCATACATGTATTTACACGTACATGTACTCCATCGAACACGTTCCTATTTTCTAAAACAAGCCTTAAAGGTCACAGAGCTTGATGCAGCAAATCGACAAGTGGAATATAGGAATTGTCAACCTTACAAAAACTACTGCCAAACAGTTTTTTTTTTTTAGTGTGACATACACAGGTTATTAGAAAAAAGCTTGTCTTACAAATGCACACATTGCATATGTGGAATACTGATAGCAATTGCTTTACAAATGATGCAAAAACTGACCAATAAAAAAAGCAGGTTACTCAAATGAAATGGAAGTGTCCAATTAAAAAAAAAATAAGCACTCAGATAATTGGTTGAATGCAACATTCACGAAGTGTACTGTGACTCACATAAGCCAACTTACAGTCAGACAATCGAACAAACGGATGTGCATATACATGTGTATTACTGTGAAGTGCTTATATTTAAACACAAACCCTTTCCCACAAAACCCAACGAGAAATTGGGAGGATTTTGTAGGATTGGGGAAGGTTTATCTCGGCAACTGTTGCTTTACATGGAAAGAATACATCAATATACCATTATTTTCCTACAAAGTGAAGGATTCTGCAGCACTCCAAAATTTGGTCACCACTTCCCCATAGATTCACTTCGCTTCAAAAGTAAAGATAGAGAGTACCAGTTCTTTTTCCTCTTTTTTTATCACATGGTGACATTTTTTCTTCACATTTATTTTTATTTTACAATTTCACTTAGACCAATCGCTGTCTGTACATTTCCCATGAATAATGAATACACACAACTGTGTTGATATACACTGTGAAAGGCTATGATACACATTATACAACCATTGCACAAATAATTTGCCATCTCTGTCCCAAACTTAAGTTCAAATGTAGCGCCATTTTGTGCTGGTCCCAGAGGGCTCGCCTAGAGTCATCCTCTTTTCACCTATCTCACCGACTGACTCCCTCACTGTCGCTCATGAGTCGCGCATGAGTCGCGCAGTGCTCTCCATAATAGAATTACCTCACAACGCCAATGAATGGGCTAAATCCAGTCCATGGTGAGCACACTTCAAGTGAGCGAATTTTTTTTTGTTTGCAGCATACATAGTTTTTTAACCAATCACATCACACACCCTTAGATGAATATTTATCACTCTACGTGGATTAAAGACTCTTAGGTTCTCGTAGTGTTTGCCCTTCAATTAAACTTATCCTAACCAATAAAAAAAGGAATACCATGAAAAAGGACATGGGTTCGAACCACAGATCTTGCGATCCATAGTTCATTCCACTATCCACTAGGCCACTGTTGCAGCTCAACGAAAGCCTTCGTTTGAAATGCTGTAATGTACGTAAGCATGAATGAGTAATAGCAATGGTGTGACTTCATTGTTATTTTCTTATGAATAAACATCGAACTAGCTGAATAATCATGCTCCGTTGACGATGTGTGCTGCAGATAAAAACACCGCTTCCAGTGAATAGCCATTCGGAATCAATTGGAAAGAATTCTGTGCACTCTGGGACCAGCTCTACTAGACTTGCCTTGTCCTGCTTACTTCTCCAACCAGAAATTCCAAATTTTAGACATTCTTTTTTTAAATCTTAATTGTAGTCAATTTACATTTCCCATCCCCTCTGACGTACAATTCGTCAATTTTGAGGTACATGTACAAACATGTGAATACACTTCACATAAAACCCCAGTAATTTACATAGTCAAAACTACTGGCACCACAACACGTATTTACATCAGTTACTTTACTGTTCTGAAAATCAATATCAAAAAATCAATAAAATACTACTGTCAAATGTAATATTAAAGTAGAATATACACTCTGCAATTTGGAACGTTTTCCCAACACCCTACAGAGGTGCAAGTTATATATGCAGCATCATGCATATATAAGATAGCCTCACATAAATATCACAGAAATACAATGATTATTCATCCTGACCCTCCTCAATCCTCCAAAATCAACCCTGGACTTTTGGAGGATTTTGAGAATTGAAATGTGTTGCCTTTGAATACCGGTTGATTTTGGATGATGCATTGCATAAAGGCCTTAACCCTAACCAACTCCAGACAATCCACCCCCCCCCCCCCCCCCCCCATTTTGGGGAATTTTGGCAGATAAGCCATTTGGAGCAGTGACCAAAACAAGGAAGAAAACAGATGATTTTGGAGAAATGAAGCAGTATCAAGTGTTTAAACAGAGGCAGTTGGAGGATTTAAGGAAAAGCGCCTAGGGGGTTTGTTAAAAGCATGTCAACAATTGGAATTCATCTAATTCCCTCGTGACCAATGGACAAAATTCATCTCCTGAGGGCCAGTAGGACGACAGTAGGGGGCGTAAATATGTCAACCCTTCGCTTTTCCTTGCTAAATTTTTACTGCACTACAATTGCTAGGTATTTCAGCGTGTGACAGTCCATTTTCCACAGTAGTTTTTTGTTAAATGGCAAGACCGTCTTCAAGTGAAGAAAACTCCCAAATTTGACCCTTCAAGAGGTTTTCTGTCGTGCTCCTTCACCAGAGGTATGCGACCCAAAAAAATAGGGCATTCTTTTCCCAATTTAGGCACACAGAGAGTCAGTAGCAAGTTGTTATAAGGTGACTGTTTCATTTAGGCCACATGGTGCCACCTATAGACTCCATGCGCGTGTATCCCCCCTCTATTGTTAGCAAAGGGAGAGGCAGAGGGACAGCCTGGGATCATGGTGCGTGTGCCCTTGGGCAAGGCACTTTGTCACTCATTGCTTCTCTACGCCCAGGAGTAAATGGGTACCTGTGAGGGTAGAGATGGTTATTGCGATAGATTTTAGCTGCTTTGCGGCGAAATAGCAGAATCTAGCTGTATACTCCCCAGGGAGCTGAGATTGTCTTTGGAAGGTTGCATTGGCCTAATGAGCAGGGTAATAATGATGTAGTGTCTTGAGCACCAATACTGGTGGATACGTGCACTTTACAAATACACATTACTATTTGTATTATTACTGTTTATGCACAATTTCCATGGTTTTTGCATGGAGGGCGTACATACATGATAATACAAGTATATTGTCGGAGCGTTAAGCCATGAGCCAGTAAGTATGGACATAGCCAGGCGGCCCGGGGCCAAGTACAGATCATGAATACATCAATCTAGCAGCAATAAAAGCTGCGGCCGGCAGTTACCGAAGGCCCCCCCAAAAAAGTCTCTGGTTTCTGGTATGGAGCTTACCCAAAAAGTGGTGCGGCGATGCGGCTTTTTTTTTTTTTAACCTGATTTTTTGCTTCAAATGTCGGCTGATGACTGCAAATGGTGCCCGACTAAACTTAGTGCAAATATATGGGAGTCCAGAGAGGCCACATAAAGCTGATTCTCGACCATAACCCAATCTAAAAACACGTTAAAATTGTGCAGCAGCAGGATTCCAGTCAAACCAGTGAGTTTGGCGGTTTTGAGACATCATCTTTCATTGAAAAAAAAACTTTTTCATCATACGGCGACGCGCGCGCATACCAGAAACCGGAGACTTTTTTTGTTTGGCCTAACCTCTACTTTTCTAAACAGATAACGCTTGTATAAAATTTCCATGTTTTGGCACTGAATTATCGACGTAATTTTAAATTAAAACCATTTATCACATTTCAAAACTGCTGCTTTATCAATCGAATTAAGTTACAATTTGTCAGCCTTGATACTAAAAAAACAAACCAACATTTTGTATGAGTTGAGTACAAGGTGCAATTCAAAACGCACTTGCAAATATCAAATGTCAAATCGAGACAATGTACAGAATATCATCATTACAGGTGAATATATACATTTGCAGTCCCGTTGTCATGGTAACCACCATCCTTCATTCAGGGAAAGGCATGTGCAGGGGTACATGTATAATGGTGAACAGAAAGCAGTTTGCACTTTAAATCTTTCATGAATCAGAAATTTATCCCTCAGGGGGAACATTCAACGATTTCTATGCAAGTGAAATGAAGGTGGATGGTCTTATACAAACCTCTATATAAAGAGCTGTGACAGATTCTTTGCTGAAGTACATTTTATAGCCTTCATTTTATGTTAACGCAATGCATTTTTCATTTTAGTTTATTTGACCGACGTATTATGTTTATTGTCGACGTCACTATGTTATCAATGCTGAACAAATACATTGGGACACAACAGACAAACAAATCTGTCTCTGGTTTACACGCTATTAACTCTTGAAATTAAAATTTTGATGGCTCCTCTAGATCAAGGCTAGAGTGGTTTTTTCAAGGTCTTTTGGGGTGATTTGAGGACACTTCGTCACCAGGATAAGATTGAACAAATAAGTGGATTAGAGCTGGGTTTCTTCACATTATATTTTATGTGACCTCGCTCTAATATGAAAATATTAAACCAAGATGATACTGGCTTGTGAGGAACAAAATGCTTGTGAAGCTTCCATTTCTAAAATAACACAAAGGAATCTTTTGGATTTAAGTTACAGATCGCCTTGGTTTAAATGCTTACATCACTCAGAGATTTGACTCAAACACACGAGACCTGGTAGTTAGCTCTGGGTCCGTTCTCCATTCCCGTCTTCCCTGGCCCGCCCCACTGCAGATTGTCCCCGCCCAGCTGGAAGGTATTATCTGCGGTGGGCACAGCATGCCGGTTGACGGCAGACGTCGTACCGTTTGTGACGTGTTTACCAGGCTGCAAGGCATGGCCATTCTGTGTCAACAACGGAGTACCGTTACACTGGTCCCCGGAATTGTTGTTAGCACTGTTCTCGGATGAGTCGCTAGCCTGGTCAGATTCCGGAGAGCCGTCATCAGACGACACGCTGCCCTGGCTCTTCCCGTTGTAAACGGAGAGTTTCTTTGAGCCTGCTATTCTATAGGGTGTGACTTTCCTTTTCGTCTTCTTGGAGTCCATATTTACACCGCACTCTTTGGATTTGGAGTTCCCATTCAGGAGACTCCCAGAGTCTGACTCGTCGTTTGATTTGTCTCCAACTGACCAGGACAAGGGCCTGGCGTTGGATGGGTTTGTCTCAGAGGGTTGCACCCTGGCTCTGCAGGTCACTTTGGGTTCTCCGGGTTTGTTCTTACAGTGGGTACCATTGGTCGCCACTTTGACCGGGTGACACTGGGTGTCAACGCTGTCCATTTTGGCAATACCTGTCTGGACTTTAGTGGTCGGGCCTGAATCCGGGATGTAAACTGCCACCAGCTTTTTCTTGGACCCGTGGCTGTTGGTTGGCAGAGGAAGGGTGTTGGGTCGCCGGCTGTGATCCGACTCGCAGCTGTTTGCTGACCCCTCGGATAAGGTAGAATGGAGGCTGCTGCAGGATCCGTTACTGGAGGAGTTGTCAGACGAGGACGCCTCCATTTCTTTAGGAGGGAGGTTTTGTTTCGGGCTGGTGACGGGAGCTTGCTCAGCAGCCCTGGCTTGTTGACGTTGCTTGTTGACGTCAGGCTTACCCGGTCGTGACTCGCTTCCTAAGTCGGTCAAAGCGTGGTGGGGATGAGTATGCGCTCTGGCTTCATTCACGGTCATCTGACCCCAGACCGGCAAGCTGGTTGGTCGGTGGAGATTGTGTCGTTTGCTCCAGACTCCAAGATTATCGGTCATCTGGTCCCCAGCAAGGCTTGGTCTCATCTCATGCATGACCAGAGGTTGGCTGGGGGAGGTGTTAGGCTCGCTATACCCGTACCCTTCGGAGCTCTCCGTAGGGGTGCTGTACGGACGACCGTACTTGAGGTCGGAGGTGAACCTCTCAATGTTCTCGTCGGAGTAGTGCAGGTTCTTGGGGTCAACGTTGGGCGCAATGGTGGACAGGTCGATCAGGTTGAGATCCGACTGAGCGGAGAGGCTGGTGCTGATGGTGTCTGGCGACAGAAGCCTCTGCCGCTCATTCTTCTCAATGACGGAGCCTGTCGGAGCACAGCGCATCCCAAACCCGCCCTCTGGGCCCTCCCCCGTCATGGCGTGGTCAGCGTGAGAGTGGGGCTGCGACAGATGGGAGGTCACTGCACCTGAATCCACCGTGGCTGTGGTGGCAGTCCCTGGACCATGGTCTGGATGACCTCGAGTATGGGTTATCGTGGCTGACGTCATCCCTTCAGAGGTTGGGTTGATTGTGGGGCTGACGGTGTGGTGTTTGTCCCACAACACCATCAGTTCAATGATGCGTTCCTCCACACACAGGGCAGTCAAGCGGGCCTCCGAGTCATGATCCCAGCAGTCTTCTATTGTCTCCTTCAAAGAACGTAGTGCCTAAAGAAAAAAAAATGTCACAAAAATAGGATTCTTGACATACTAATTCTTTATTTATTCGAAGATTGAGGGGAGTTTGAATAAAGAATTCCAAATTGCGTTCCAAACTGAAGTTGTCAACAAAAGCTATCCCATGCTGACTGGCTTCTAAAGTGACAGTTACTATTACTGCACACAAAACACTGTGTGCGTGAAGCTAAACAAAAAACAACCCAATGCTATGAAACATAACAAAAAAATCTTTGCTTTATCAATTTGTAAAATCTGCGTGAAGTGTTCACAAGCTTGGCAACAAGAGTAACAAAAAAAACTTTTGTGGTATTAAAAAGATTTTGCCATAAAACAATTAACAGTTTCTGTGAGATTGATCTGTGGACAGAGAAAATCGCGATGAGAATGTCCGTTGATTTAGACTGATTGATTTGCCGGTACCTGGTTATTCTCCTTCCACGCGTCTGGGAAAGCAGGTCGTTTTCGGCCTCTAGACACGTGCACCTGCATGTCTTCAAACGTTGGGTGTGGGCAGAGCTCATCGGAAAAGGGCAGTTTGTAAGGAGGAACATCGCCACCTGCGATGCAAACAAAAGACAAAAAGGTCACGGTGAATCTGTGGTTTTTAAGACAAAATACTGATTCCAAAGGTATGCACCCAGTTTAAGCACTGTCGATATCAGAATTTTAAATAATTGATATATTGGCAATCAAATACATGTATTGAGAATATTGGATATACCGGTATCGATTATCCCATGTAAAAGTTGAAGACCATAAAGATGACACTTTTATTAAAAAAAAAAAAAATTAAGTCCCACTTTTCCATGACTTTCTCTGGAGCATCTAAAAATTCAGAGCAAAAAAAAAAACCCAAACAAACAAAAAATAATGACCCACCCACCCTATTGTTTTGTTCAGTGTAATTGGAAACACATTTTTTATTCATGGCCTTATGCTTTATAAATTCTTTAGTAATTGAATATTTAACTCAAAAGAATCCCGATACCCCAAAATTCAACACCAGATTTAAAAATTTACATGATTTACAAATTTTACATTTACAAGATTTTGAAAATTCAATACTGTTATTTTACAGGGGGGGGGGGGGGAGGGGGGATCGGTGTCTATTGAAAACACACTTGCCAGTGGTTTAATGCAAAGCGTTTTTCTCATTTACATAATAGACTGCAAAATAAACTAGCGATATGATTAAGTGGTTTTTCTTTTCACACTTGAAACTGTGACTCAGCTTATTAACCACGGGACACTGTTTTTCCAAACATTTGTCTCGGGCTGCACAGACAATGAACATCGCATCCCATTACATGTACGCAGAATGCATGCCATCAATCACTGAATGTCATTACCATAATACAAAAGGACCATGTACAAAATCCATGACAAAAATGTTTTTGAAGGTATTATGGTTGAAACACAGAGTTAATCTAACGTACTAATTGTTGCTGTTTCTTGACAGGTTTTATTAAATCAATTTTTATTTTAGAGAAATGTTATAATTTTTACCCAAATTGCCCTGATTAAGCTTTTTGGGACGATACATGCATCAAATTCAAGCATTTCAAATCAATTGTTAGGGAATTGCCTTTTTAAAGCTTTTTGGGAAGATAGTTAAATTCAAACACTTTAATCGATTTGTAAGGAATCTTGTATGCTCCGTTAAAAAAACAAAATTAATCTCAGATTTAAAAATCAAACTCAGATTTCTTAGTTTAAAACTGAACAAACCAATCATTCCTGTTACCCTATTGCCAATATTTTGTAATGAAATGTAACTAAAAAACCTGCATGTACGTGAATCTAAAGACACACGTACATGTACATGTACAGGTACGTATCTAAGTCATTTTAAAACCTTTTAAAACAACCCTTCCCACCACACACATCGAAATCCAAAAAAAAAAGTAATGCATGTATGACTTAAATCCTAAAATGATTATTTATGTTCTTAGAGTAATGCTAATCAACAGGTACATACACACGTAGGTATCCGTGCGATTTACATGTACCGCGTTGGGGGGCATTTGGTCCTCTCTGACACAGCTTAGCATCATATCCGGACGTTAGTCACTGAGTGAGTCAGACTGCCACACTTGGCGTAAACACACGCATACTGTACCAGCAATAAGCTGGCTTACACCTGCTGGTTTATTACGAGCCTTTTTCCCATTCTTACAGGTGCTACTCAATCAAGATGTCTTTTTTTGTCTTCTGCCAGGTGGTTGGTCTATGTAATAAGGAAGTGGTACTATCCTTTCCACATGTATGTATCTGCCAACGCTTGATATTTGTCTCTTTTGGGGGGGGGGGGTTCCTTTATATTCTGTTATCAAAGCCTCTGCATTCGTTGGAGTTGATTCACAAAACTTCTAATTCTTCTCCAAGAATGCTTGGAGCACTGTGTTACACTCAACTGTTTAGGATTTCAAGTGCAATACAGGTGTATATTTGCTACAGAAAAGTAAACCTCATTCACTATCAACATGTTACATGATATGACCAATCCAATGGTGACTCACGTTACATTGAGAGGGGGTATTCCATCAATTCTGTGCTGGTATTCTATAACGTGTATAAAGTCAGAGTATTGAGGATGGGTTTTGTGAACAGAAGATCCCTTGAAGTTAAGTGACTAAGCTACCAAAAGAAAAAGTCAACAAAATCAACTTATGTTGCTTTTGCAAGAGGTTTTTTATCGGTAACTCGCTTTACAAGAACAGGACATGGGCAAAAATTTTAATACCCTGCATTTGAAAATTTCCTCAGGCTGTGCACTGATGGAAAATCTGTTTATAAGGCCCTCTCATCATGAGGGTATAAGCTACCGGTACACTTTCAATTATTAAATAATAATGGGTCATAAAATATCTAGAGGGGTATATTTTGGCACCTCACTATTACAGTTTGTCCGACCATCTTTGGTAAACTTAAATCATATAAGAAACTAAAAGTTAAACGAAAACCTCATTTTGCTTAAAAAATGAAATTTTCTCTCTACCTTAAAAGCAAGAAGTCATGACAACACTGGCATTTTGTATGTAAAAATAAAAGCCAAAATTACTACTCAAAAAATCCAACTTTTTAGCCCCAAAAATTTGGACAAAAGATACCATATTCCATCTCACTACCATATCACTCAAATGAAAGGTCTTGTTGTCCTTTTTAGTTTGATACCACAAATAATTTTGAGGTTGGATGCTTTCATTTTTGAAAATGTAATAAATTATAAATTTTTCAGCCACGTCCACATTCTCATGGAATTGCCCATATGTATGTACACCATCTTATACCCTAGCTGATTTCTTTGTAAATTTTAGACTAATTTTTTTTATATGTTTTTTTTTTTGGGGGGGGGGAGGAGTGAGGTTTGCAAAAGGAGAGTAGATACATATATAGCTGACAGTGACAAGCCTACTTTAATGTCAAGTCGAGCACAATACATCAATCATTTGACTCAAGACATCCTGTTCTGATAAATGTCAGTCAGACAAATAGACTTCACAAGTCTAACCATGCCTTCAAACTCTGGCCACTTCTTACTTCCCTCTTATCACAGGGAAATTGTCAATCAACCATATCTTGAGCGAGTGGGGGCAGTGTAAGGACATCATTTTGGGGATATAATCAGACGTGAAACAAAGATTATTGACGTAAGTTTACACTTTGCCACAGCTCAAAAATTACATTTTTCCAATCCTTGATCAAAAAACAAAACCACCAAATTATTATGAAATACCTTGCGTGACTATAAGTGAATATTAGTCTCAAGCATCCTGTGAAATCATGGCACCTGGTCTGCTGTCATTTTCAAGAAAAGTGGAAGTTTTGTTCAATTTCTGGTTGGCCGACCATCGTTGGAAAAAAACTTGAAATTTTTTCAAACACTGCCCACAAATTGTTGACCTCAACTTCTGTTCAATCGATTATGCAGATAACAATTTGCAAAATTCAAACACGGGGGTCTGTAAGTAATTTAGTCAGTGTTTGGTACCAAGATGTTTACAGAGAAAGTGAACGTGGACTGGTGAAACTTACAAGCTCTTTAGGAGGGCCTTCCTGTGTCAAGTATTGTGAAGCTTCTGTCCAGTAAAGGTCATTGGCAAGACCTTTACTGGACAGTAACAACAACTGATGCCTTGTGGTTGACGTTGGATAATTGGGCTCCGAGGCACTTCCTGTATTTACTCCACAGCGTGCCAACACAAAGACTTAGTGGGGAAATGGATTTGTCGGGTCAAATCCTTTCGGATTACTATCGAAATAAATGGATCTAGAGAGGACATCTTTAAGTCAACAACAAGAGTTGTCAGGCGCCTCAGAGGGGGTGTCATATTACAAGTTTTTGTAATTGGTGTGAATGCTGCACTTGAATGTGAAGATTTTTACCAAGGGGGTGATGCTAAACTGTTACGGAGATTGAGGACGGAAATTTATGTTTGGTTTTGGGAGAGAAAGGGACAGAGGTTTCAACTGAGGAAGGTTGTGCTTTTCCTCTTGTTGAAGCATATGTGGCAACTAGATTGACAATTCTGTCTTGACTCCAAGTTTCAAATTCGTCAACTTCACAGTTCTTGAACAGACTTTTCCTTAAAGATGCTACTCAAGCACAGAGATGAACCAAAGACCACCAAAATAGAAAAAAAAAGTGGGATATGTATCTGCAACCTTCAAAATACTGTACAGAATCTTTCAATTCAAACTGAGGAAGGTTGTGCTTTTCCTCTTGTTGAAGCATATGTGGCAACTAGATTGAAAATTCTGTCTCGACTTCCAAGTTTCAAATTCGTCAACTTCACAGATCTTGAACAGACTTTTCCTTAAAGATGCTACTCAACCACAGAGATGAACCAAAGACCACAAAATAGAAAAAAAGTGGGATATGTATCTGCAACCTTCAAAATACTGTACAAAATCTTCAACTTCATCAACAAGCTCTGCATGTACATGTACATGATCCTAGCTCTAAATGTTTGTTCTACGTGCAGACCTTTCAGTGTCCCATCTACATTTGTATATTCATGTCTAGACAACTCTTATCTTGTTTACGATAGAGATCATACCCACTTATTAGTGAGACCTTGAAACTGGCAGCATGGACTTCACTCGCAAAAGATCCAATATTTAGAAACATAGCAATACAAGAAACCATACAGGAAATGAACTACATCCAAACTCAAATTATCAGTTTGCAAACTCATGGAAAGTTTGGTGGCTACAGCGATTAGGTAAGGTCACGAAGTTCCTCAAAATATTCAGGAATGGGGCTTTTTGCGTATAATCTCGGAAACTGGTTGATAAAACAACTCAATATTGTCCAAACAAAGAGGGAAAATCCTGTAGCTCCAAAACACTGAATTTTCAAAATCTTCTTTGAATAACTGCCATTTACAGTTTGAACGCAAAACGGACCAAATGGTAATATGCGCTTTATAAGAACAGATACCACAGGCATGCAACTGGGAATTTAGAAAAAACGAGGAAATTCCAAACTACACAAGATTTTGTACAGTAATTTTCAATTTGTAATGGCATTCATGAGAAGTAAAAAACGAGGAAATCAGCGGATCCGAGGAAAAGTTGCATGCCTGATACCAGCGATTAGATATTATAAGTATATATTCCCTGGAAATTGTAAAAGATTTCCAAGGCAAGTTTTAAAAGAATTCAAGGCAAATTTTAAAAGATCCCCGGGAATGTTTCCACAAGCACAGGCCTATTTTTGAAGAGGGTGGGGGGGAAGGGGGGGGGGGGTAGGGAAGGGGGTTAGCAGGATTACCTGGGTATAACTCGCTGCATCTTGTGCCAATCTCCCACAAGACCAGACCCAAAGCATAGATGTCCACCTGTTTGAGGGCCGACTCGCAGTCCCGTAGATTGACAGCTCCATCCAGGACCTCCGGTGACATGTAGCGCACCGTGCCGACCTGAGCAATGTCAGCGGATTAAACAAACAAAAAATAAAGTGTTAGTATTCTTTTGATTTCGACTTAGCAAAAAGACTTAAGTGGTGTTTGTTTTGCACTATAGGTGTTTGAAGGGCACTTTCTATATTTCTTTAAAGGGAGGGTAGAGAAAATTGGCTAGAATTCCAAACTGAAATCCTTTACTGATTTTATGTTCTCAGATTCATAACCTGAGCCATTTCCTACTTAAGTTAATGAGTGTTTTCACTGTATACTGCATGGACAAAAAGTATCTGTTTTGTTCACATTTTTACTGTCCAGCAAATTTCAATAGATATTTGACACTATCGGTACATGTACATCCTATATCTTCATGTCCTACTCGCCCCATGTCATTGAAATAGTGCAAGCAGCAATTAGCAATATTGTGCCTAATGGAAATTGTCAGCATAGACAACTATAAGCCTAACAATGCCTGTAGAGAAATCTAACATACACTAGTCTTTTTCTTTTAAAAAAAGGAGAAACGTTGTTCTGTTTTGATAAGTACTGTAAATGCCATGGGACATTACCAGACACCCCCGACAATCAGCATAGTGCCTTTTGTGAGAGCATTCCTCTTCCAATAATAACATTCATGTGAAGCGTTCCTTTCAAAATAACATAGACCCTGACCTCATAACCACATGGGAATGTTTTATGCTGATGGTGCTATGTTTGAATTCACATTCAGAACATACACTGTAAGAACATCATACTGTACATGTACAGTGTTCATTCTTGTACATTTGTCAATTATTTTATGCAACACCGAGCACCTTTTATAAAGCGTCCATGAAATGAATTTCACACTTGAGCAAATTTGGAGAAACTATCCAGTCCTCTGAAATGTATCGAAACTATGAGACATCCCTTTTGGTAATTTTTTTTTTTTTAAAGTGCACTGTTTTTTAAACATTTAAAATGTTTCATGCTTTTCATGACAACTGAGGGCGCTGTTGCTGTGATGTCACTTTAGGAACACAATCTTCAAATTAGTGTTTTTCTCTTCAAATTGTAAACCCAAAATGCTGCTTATTGAAAGCATTTGTGCATAATGTTATCTCATTGCCTTACTGTCATATACTGAATCAACGAGACCCACTGAAAGCAGAAAAACAACCAAAGCAAACCCCTAAAAAATTTTGTGACTTGTTTATGCTGAAGCAGATGTGAAACTGAAGTTTCTGCCTTGAATGACATCACAGATTTGCTCATGAATATGTAATTTTTCATTAGCATAAAAGCCAAAAAAGTACCCCCCCCCCCAAAAAAAAAAGCTCTTAAAATGGCAATATGAAGATGACAAATAAAGTTAAATGGGACATAAAGGTACATTTTGAGGATTGCATTAAAACAAATTTCATTACATAAGACCCTTAACGATTTGAAACTGCTTATATTGTCCAAATAAACCAAATAAAAAAATACCCGGACACAGCAGAAATACGCAGATACAGATAAGTGTTTCCTAAAATACTACTACCGAAATCCTTTTCCTCGTCATTCTGGTAGGGACTATCGATTCAAATAATTCAAAAGTACATGTAATTCCAGTGTCCCCGACACAAAAGTATACAATAACACCTGACTAGTCTGGTTTTATTTCCATCAACGAAACTGTAATTTTGCCTGAAGGTTGATCATAATAGCCTCAAATCTTTGTGTGTGCAGACCCAATATGCAGCCTTCTTCAATAGAGATGTTACACAATTTGGTCACATGTCAGCCAAACGAGGCAGTACTGCCTGTATCACCCTGCACCATGGCTGCCTAGGGCAGGTCAAACCATCAAGGTCAATAACAAAGGCATTTAAGCTGCCCTGGCTTCCAAGGTAGGGTCAAGTTCTCTTTCTCTTTTTTTTGTGCAATAGTATGAGTAAGCAAGCAATGCTACTGTCCTTGACCTTAAAGGGATATTACCGCCTGGAATACGCTCAATTGAGCCACAAAATGCATTTTAAACGAAATTATATTAAATGAAAAGATCATTTAAAGTAGATATGAACGTCCACATAACCATCCTTTAGAAACTGGGCATTTTTGTGTTATTCTTGCGAGAACCACTCGAGAACAAATTGGGTTGGTTTTTTTGGGGGGGGGGGGGTTCACAATTTTGTCCCTAAAAATCGAGCTGTTCAGTGTTAGCTTTGATTCCAGCAGCACAGTGGTCACCTTCTGCGGACGTGCATAAAGAAAGAACATTTGTGTATTGGTGCTGTGGGTAATTTATGTGACACACACAATGTGTATCATACATTGAATGAAAACGACAGGAAATACGTAACATGCATGCTCCGTTGGTCCGATGTTAACAACCAAGTTTTTTTTTCTTCATCTTTTCTCCGGAACGGTAAGACACATTAGGTTAGTTTCCTTTCAACTAGACCTTTAAAATACTATACAAGTAAACAGTCCAAAACATGAATTTTTCAGGGATTTCAGGCCGTAGTGCCCCTTTAACCCTTTTGGATTCCTCAAACCCCATCAGGTGGTTTGAATGAGAAATGTAGGAATGAGAAAGAGCCCAGTCATTCTTACTTTACGTGAGATTGAATTTTTAGTATGACTTTGAGGATAAAAAAACGAAGACAACTGCTGGAAACTAATTACTGACTGAATTGATCAGAAATATAAAACCACAACAAAATTAGAGGACCTAGCGTTAGGCCCTCTATGTTTTGGACAGTTTTGAGGACAAAGAAAATACTATTATCTCCTCGCAGTAAGACTTTGGAAGACTCCGGGAGGATGCATTGGGGTTGATGGATAACCAAAGTTTGATCTATTTTGGTAATTAACTCTGAAAATCAATGAAACGGAATATGCCACATGTATCTGTATATGGACCTAAAGAGGCTGAAATCTCTCCCGAGACTAATTTTGTCATTCTACAGGAAAGTCGCGGTAAGTTAACCAAAAAAAGTCTAATGGGAACACGGCTTATGTTTTACTTTCAGTTTAGCTTCACTGAAAATACTTGGGACTTTTTTGGGGGGGAGGGAATAATAGAACAAGCCTAATATTGTTCCGCTTTCTTATCTGTGTTCTGATATTACATTTCTATGAGAATCATACACATTGTTGAATGAGACAAATTATGTTTTTCTGGACCATTATCATACAAATGAATAACTGAAATTAAGAATCAGCTTGCTCTAGATCTACTGAGGAATTTTGAAGAACAGGTGAAACAAGTCAGTCCAAGACGCATCTCAGAAACTTGGCAAACAGTTCATGTTGGTACTTTGCCAAATGCCTTCCATGATAAGGACAATGTACCAGCATGAACTTGGAGCAGAAACTTGGCTGACCTTCACCTTCAAATCTATTTGCCAATTCTATGAAAAAGATACAATCAAGCGAAATCTGTTTTGCAGGGAAAACTCTTTTTGACAGGCAGAGCACACTGTCCGAAAGATTGAGTTGTTTTTTTTCAACCAGTTCCCTGTTGGAGCTGTAAACGAACTCTTAGTACATGAAATAGCGCCCTCTTGCAGTCACGCGCACAGCCTATGGGTTGATCGTACACTTACATCAGTAATGGTGCTATTGTCTTCGTCTCCCTCCCGTACCACGGACGATCCAAAGACTTTCATGGCGAAGCCGAAGTCACCGATGACGCAGGTCAGGTCCGACTTGACCAGAACGTTTCGGCTGTTGATGTCTCGATGGACGATGGCCGGCCTCGAAGAACCTGCAAATATTGGAGAAAATTTCAGAATTTTTGGTTTTTTGGGGACAACATAACATGCGAGAGCTGAATTATTATGTGGAGAATTCCAGCATTATGAAAGGAAGAGTAATGTCTGTGACTTTTGAGATGCTTGGTGGCAGCAAACTCACCGGTCCTTTTCAATGGTTTGCGTCATGTTGGCTCGTACCCCTCGCCCTGCAAACAGGGCGCTGGGACGGGCTGATGAGCTTCACAGAATCTTGTGAAGGAAGTGGGAATGGCATTCTGGGTAACTTGCAGGTCACAGGTCATGCAAAATCTATCCAATCAGAGCTTAAATTCATCAAGCCCTTCCCAGCGCCCTGTTTGCAGGGCGGGGGCTACGAGCGAATGCATCATGTGTTAAGTTAATGTGCGCATATTCAAAATGACGCAAACAATAGAAAAGGCCCGGTGGTGGCTGCCATCAGGCAACTCAAAAGTCTTCCATCAACCATGATATCTAAATAATGAAAGGTTTGCGGAAACACCAACTAAGAGAATGGTTCTGAAAAGAACCAGAGGTATAAACTCGACATTCTGTCTTCAGGAGAATGAAACACATGGTGTTTCCGCAAACCTTTCATTATTTAGTATCTCCACCATGCAAAGCCTCAAATCTTACTTAACCATGATATCTAATTAAGGATTCAGAGAAATGATCCAAAACTCCTACACACTGTAGTCTGTAATCTCCTTGACCATTATCGTAGCTTTATAACATTTGAAAAATCCATGTTCAAGTTGATTCAAAGAGCTCTTAAAAGCTGTCACGGACATTAATTTATGCTGGAATTGCTCCGAATTTATGCGAGTAAGACATCTTCTTGCTTACAATGATGGATTTGATTTGGTCCAGCAGGGTTAGGGGTTATGTACATGTACATATACACAGGTCACTATCAGGGGTGCTTTTATGCCAAAAAAATGCATAAATTTCTGCTGTGCATGCAGATTTGGATCACAGCCAAATTTCACTTCTCCTTTGATAAACAATCCAGGTTCAACTGAACAGTTCTCTGCAAAGAGCTGACGCTTTAAAAAAAAAATGTTTTTTGTATACAATGCATGTCCATGAACCACTGAGTATTTCTTGGGGGGAAAAAATATACCAGGTTAATTTTTTTTCCTAGCTGTACATAACTAATTCTTTCCTGAAAAAATGTAGTTTCCTAAAAATTTAGCTCTAACAACCAAAAGTATTTCCTGTTAACACATTTGTACTATACACTGTAATACATTATGTTTATTTCCTGAAGAATCAAAACAAAAAAGACAGTCCTTGGGCGGTTTCGGGCGCTACAGTGAGTAACAGGCAGGGCGCTTTTGGGGCGTTATAGTGACTAAATGGTTAATGTGCTCGTTTGCGCATGTTGTGCACACATCTACATGTATTTGTACACGTGTACATGTACTGAACATGTACAAGTATACACATCATAATGTTATCTTTTAATAAGTGAAATATTATTATCTATTCTTAAATGGAATAATAATAGTTAGTTGAGTTAATCAATACCACACACACCAATATGCTAATAATATCACGTTTGTACATGTACCGACACATTGTAGATCACTTTTTTAAACCATATGCTCAGAGCTGATACATATTAATAATAATCCGATCATGCTGACGTTGTTTTGTTGAACTCTTCACCCGCCATATGCCTGCTTAGTGTCACATGCTGCTCATGACACTCACAAACATAATTTATCTCCTTCACCCTCATACGTGGCCTTTCAAAATGTCACATTTCACTGCATCCACCGCTGAATGTGTCTAAGCGCGCATTCCTTATGAAAAATCCACCACTGTGCGTTCAGCACGCAGGAGACATACAATAATAACGGTTCATGCACAATGGAACAATGTACATGTATAGTACATTGTATACAATTATGTATTGTAAACGAACAGGCAGGGCCCTCAGTCAGATGTTTTGACAGCATAATATATTTTGAATTAGGGCACGGCTCCAGATCTGCTAAATCTTCATGTTCTTATACAATGTATAAAAAAAACAGGTGTTCGGGTGTCAAGGGTTGATGGGTGGTACCTGGGGGTGAGGTGAGGTGGGGTGAGGTAGGGTGAGGTGGGGTGAGGTAGGGTTGAGGGTGGGGCATCAGGGAGGGAAGACTGAAACTGTGCCATTTCACGCTTTGTTTAACAAAGCGTGAAATGGCACAGTCTTGCAGTACGTACATGTGATAGTTTACTGTTGGACTAACTACATGCTTAAAAACAAAGAGGCAATATGTGACCTGTTCTGTCAAAATCAGACTTTTCTGGGCATAAGGTCAAAAAAGAGATGTTTGTCAAAATTCCTGTGCAAAGTTATGCTATTTTGAAATTCGTTGTGTCGAAAAGTAAAAAACGGAGAAAATGGCCACGAATGTCACAAAACAGTAATTTCTTTAACTGATATACCTTAACAAATTGTCACAAATACTATATTTAGAGTTCAACTTAGGGTTTCAAACTTTTATAGTATATTTTAGACATGTTCAGGATTACAAATATGCAAAAAATTGAAAATCGAAAAAATCACCCCCACAGCGTTTTTTGGCCCTATCTCAATTTCAACCTCTGCCCAGAAGCGTCTGCTTTTGACAGAACAGGTCACATATATACATGAAAATACATGTATAACATTGTGCGCTTGTAAGTAGTAAGAAGTACCTTTTGTTTTGGTTTTTACTTCTAGAACAAGACATGAATCACAGGTCAAGACAACAGGACAGGGCAAGAGATAATCTGATATTCAAGCTTTGTAGCAACCCGGTTTAGAAGGCCCAAATTCACATTTGCATACCGACACTGAGCATTGATTTGACAAGTTTAGCAACTCACAGGCATGCAACTGGGAAATCACAAAAAAAGAGGAAATTCAAATTTTCCCCAGACTTTGTACAGTGTTTTTCTATTTTCAATGGCACACATGGGAAGTAAAAAAAGAGGAAATCAGCTGATCCGAGGAAAAGTTGCATGCCTGAACTCATGTTTTCATCTTTCATTTGCAATATGTGAGAAAAATTGTTGATAAAAAAATGATGAAAAAAAAAACAAGTGCATATAAAATCAAGCAGGAAGGCAAAACAACATCCTAAAAATTTGTTTTTATGGTGTCGCATTGCAAAAAACACTACCAAGAAAAAGTGTAAATCTGCTTACACAATATTGAGTTTCAATATTGAAACCGAAACAATGTTACAATGTACGTACTGTACTTTTTCTACATGTCTGGTACCTCACCTCCTTTATCCACTGATTGATGCAGATGAGCCAAGCCAGCAGCGGCTGTCTGACCAAGCCGACACATACCCAGCCAATCGTACGTGTTTTCCTTCAGATAGTTCATCAAGGAACCGTGAGACATGTACTCCGCTACGAGCAGATACTCGGGCCAGTTATCCTGGCCCATTCTCTCTGAGCTGCCGAGAAACCTCAGCACGTTGGGATGCTCGATGTGCGCAAGGTTGTACATCTCGACCTCGTTCAGGTAGCACTGTCGCGAGGCTCCAGCGAAGATCTTAACGGCTACCTCGCCTTCTTCCAAAATGCCGCGGTAGACGTTGCAGTACCGCCCTTGCCCGACGAGATTCATGACCTTGAGTTGGTCTAGGTCCACGCTGGGTTCTGGCGGCGCGGCTTCCAGCATGCCCAAGGGGTCCATCTTGGATTTCAGGCTACGGATGCGGTACATACGAAAGAGCAGGAAGATGACAGGAACAGCGATGCAGAGGCAGAGAATGCAGACCATGACAACGATGATGGTAGTCCAACTCTCGTCATTCTTAGGTGGGGACGTTACTATATCTGAATTTAAAAAAATCGACAAGCATATAAAACGTGAAATGCATTGTACTTGACATCAAGATGATAGTCTAGAGGGAAATATTCCCAAACTATTAGCTACTTCCCTCATGTAAATTTAACTGGGCTTCCAAGAATACAATGCAAACCTACATGTAACTGTCACGATTCCTGACCCAAAACACATTCCAAACAAACGTGGATTTTTTTGGCACCTGGTTATTACCCCCGTAACTCAGGCCTGCGAAATTATTCTTCCGACTCACTTAAAGAGCATTGCCGATAGTGGAGATTAGAACAATCTTATAATAAGCTCACTACCTTTCAGCATGTGTACATTTTGAAATCTCTGTTTGGGATGAAATGTCATATATTTTAGACATTGGATGATTTTTTTACTTTCAAAAATTCACATGCACGGGTACTGACATTTGCGTCCCCAAAAAAGACATTCTGACATTTTTGGGTTAACAGTACAAGGAACCCTCACTTTATGACACATTCATATGGGCTACGTGCATAAATACATGAGTACTGAAATTTGCGTCTCAAAGAAAGAAATTCCGACATTTTTTGGTTTAAGATTACAAGGAACGCTTACTTTATGACATTCATATGGGCTACGTACACAAGTACCCCCTCATCATTAACCATTTCACGTCAGATGACGTGTATACACGCAAAGGTTTTGCGGTATTCGGAATGGATGATGGATAAACACGCAACGAGCGAGGCCGGAAATATCTGTCTGTGGCCCGCTCGCAGCGAGCGAGGCCGAAAACACCAGGGTGTGCTACCTGCAGATGACGGCCTGAACCTGTCTGGCATCGAGGTTCGTGAAAAACAATCCCACGCCTGGGTCCGGTCAATGTCAAAATAATCCTGGCGCAAAGTGGTTAAGAAAGGGAGAGTTGAGAGAGACCACTGTCAGAGACATTCGGACGCATTGCCGACGACTGACGCTCACGCGAAGACACTATAGGTTTGTGAACATTCAGAATAAAATAACTTGTGTGTACTTCACGCCAGACGCGGTGAACTAGTACGCGTACGCGGTGTTCCCTCCCACTGTGGTTTTCGAAAGTGGTACAGCAGCGCCATCTACTGTTTGTGCAAAGAGTCTATGCGGAAGTACGTATTTCATGCCTACCTTTAGGTCCAAAGGGGGTGGGTTCCAACGGTGGGCGAGGCACATAACTACTGCTCATGTTGGCGTTGCAGTAGTCTCCTTTACAGCAGCAGAACTGACTGGTGACGTTGTGGGCCCGCTGCATGGAGTCTATGGGTGGAGCTGACGAGTTACACTCATCCTGATTGCAGTCATGTTGCCCGGCTTCAAACTTCCAGCAACCTACATACAAAATTCAGTGAATTTAGCACTGTTCTCTTTCTCGGGTACCTGACTTCCATTGGGACATTTTCATCTTTGATGTTTATTTCAACAGTTACTACTGTGCATCATTCATAAGGGAATAAATGTGTGCTCCGGAGGTTTTTATCACTCGTTTAATACCGCTTAGAGTCTGGGTGCTGATAATTACCCGAGCCGGAGGCGAGGGTAATTATCAGCACCCAGACTCTAAGCGGTATTAAACAGAGTGATAAATACCGACCGAGCACATATTCCGTAAAGAAATATCAAATAATTCGTTCAAAAAATCCCGATTTTGTTCAACAAGTTCACTTCATGCTTTTTGAAACATCCCTCTAGCAAAATAATGGAGTGTTCAGCTGGCGAGTAAGATGTAAACAACCCTTTTATGGAGATTGCGCGCATAGCATGTTCTGCGCGTTGTCGCGCAGAACGCACCTGGGGCGTTGCGTTTTGAATTTAGGACTATAAAATTCTGACTCGCTTGTAGTGTTGCGCATGCCTACGTGAGGATTGTGAACGTTCAACCAATGAAACGGTAAGAGGCACTGGATTTTTAAGAGTCCACATTTTATTGTGACACTGGAAAAGTGTTTAAGACCAGCTAGCCATGTCTTTATCATCCGTTTAAGACCGGCCACGTGACGGGCTCTCGACCAATAGGAATAACTAAACTGTCTGAGGTATTTATGAATACAGCTTCATTTGCAGATGATTTTAATGTTAAATTTAAAATCATTCTCTATACAGTACAGGCAAAATTACCCATTTTTAGGTTTAAGTTCTCCTTTTGGCACTGCTCATGCAAACATTTCACTGAATTAAAAATGCTTATTATTGATGCATTGTGATTTTATCAGGAACACACACATACATGTACAATGTATGCGCGTATGTACATGTTTGTGCTTGTTTTGCAGCGAAGCACCATGAGCACCATCTGCAGGCCTTTGCGGCAGATACCCGTACTTTATATATTTCCATCAAATATCATTATTATCATTATTACAAATGTATCATAATGTACATTGTATCTGTACAGTATTTAGTACCGTACGCACATTGTACCGGTAACTTACACGTTGGAAAGTTGGACATATGGGGGTTGTACTGTGTGCAAAGAAAATAATCAAGGTAGTTTTGTTTGTTTTCTTCTCTGAACAGTTAACAACTGCGTCTTCAGTCACCAATCAGTGAATATGCCAACGTGAAATCATGCAAACACAACCCTATACCTTAAATGCATAATGTTTGTGCTGCGCAGTGCTCCCCTGAATTTTTCTTTAAAATATACCCTGACCTCAAGAAACACATGTCAATCCAGGGTTGGCCCAGAGCTCTGATGGCTCTTAACAAGATTAAGCTGGATAAACATGCTGTGCGCAGCAGCAGATGCTTAAATCGCTTCAAACCATTGGGCCAGATGCCAGTGGGGAAATAATGTACAACGGCAAGTTCAAGACTTAAAGCCTTGTTCAAGACATGCCCTTTAAATTGATTAGGCATTACGCAATAACCCCACGTACCTGTACAATGTATACAGATCCATGCATGTATTATAGGCTGAAATGCTGAAATGAAATCGCGAATGTTCATATTCCCATGTGTAACAATTGTAGTAAGATAGACAAAATGATATTAAAGATAAATAAAATGCAATTTAAGATAACAATTAGCACAAATTAAGACACAACGTTGAAACACACAAGTTTACTACTCAACAAGCTTTGCTTTTTAGAGACCCCCATCCACATTATTGTGATCTTATGATTTTCTTGGCATATTTTTTGTATTGTTATATGGTAAATAAAGTAAGATTGATTGATTGATTGACTGTGCAGTCTTTATTTTTTTTATTTTATTTTTTTTTAAATCATCAGCAAAGGACACTCACATGCTTATGTACATGATTCGATAATATCTGTGTACAGACAAGGTACATGTACAGTACATGTACGTAGTAAGTTGTACATGTTACACATATACTGTACATGTACAAACCTACACAAATTTTAAAACACCTTTCTTGGAACATGTTCATACAATACACTGTACACTGTACTGTACATGTACATGTGGGGTGCTGTGGTCCAGTGGTTACAGTGTTCGACTTGTGTGCCATGGTACATGGGTTCGAATCCTGGCGGGGAACATGGTGCTTGTGCGCTTCGGCAAGGCACTTTACTTTGATTGCCTCTCTCCACCCAGGTGTAGTAAATGGGTACCTGGTAGGAAGAAATTCCTTCAATGCTTGAGCGCCGTAATAGCAGCCGTGCTAAAGCCAGGGTAATAATGGAGCGCCAGGAGCGTCACTTCGAGACGGATATGAGCGCTATACAAGAAGCCATTTATTATTATTATTATTATTATGTATACATACATGTACATGTACATGTACAAACTGTACATACATGTACTGTACATGTACATGTGTACACATAAGCGCATGGTACATTTTTAAATGTGTTCCATACAGTCCACCGAGTCAAAGTGCAATCGTACAATGTACGTGTACTGTGCAGAACACGACATTTTGCTGACAGGTACATGTACTGTACATGTACAATGTACATTGTACCATACATGTACCGGTACGTATTCTAGGAACATTCTCCCTGCTATGATTTATTTTGTTCATGTACATTTTTGTACCGTATGGTAAACGGGCATTTCTAGGTATAGTCATGATGAGCAATCCTTTATACACACTGATCCCCCACTGGTCAAACAACAAAGCCCCACTCACAGGAACGCTTCAGGTTCAGAGAGACAGATTATAATGAAGAGGGAGATTGATGAGTCAGAAATGTATCAGCCAAGCTACGTTGTACGTTCGGTATAGCGATAAGCTTGACATTACAGTAAGGATATTGTGAATGTCCATTTTATCATGGCGCAATAAAATTGTATACTTTATGTACATCAAATTGCAATACAATTCATTTAGATCTGCACATTACTCTAATTATTTAACACAAACTGTGTAGTAAATTCTGCATGGTCTAGTGTACATGTACATGTACATCATGTGTTTGCCTTTTATGACATGTACATGTACGTGTGCACCTACATGTACGTGTACATGTACATCTATATGAACACATACACAGTACATAGAATTATGGAATCCCAAATTCTAAATTCTGACAAATGTGTTGCAGTTTTTAATATGATTTTTCTCACGTGTCACAATTACATAAAGACTGCGGATGTTAAAATCAAACCTTTTATTGTGACATGCGCACACGACTGTACACGTACATGCTTGAAGACAGAAAAGCAACCACCCAAACAAACACTTGATGTAGATAAGATCTAAGCTTTTATTTCAAGCACTAACGAGGACAGACTCCATCATGGATGGGCAAGGGAGGCCACAGGCATGGCAGGATATGGGAAGTTCACTCAATTACTAGGCTAACTAAAGTTGTCACAGTATTTGACAGTGTTTTGATCAACATGTCCAAAAACAGGTTCTCAATGCTATTACAATGTAAGGAATGCTCACAGTCACCATGGAGCTAGGAACACACGCAGTCACATATACTGAAATTTGTATTCTTGTGGAGACATTTCTTTGTGTAGTAAAGTTTTCAAGTTTGAAAGTGAAGTTTCAAAATGCTCTTATTTTAACCAGAATTAATTTCCTTGGCTGAAATTCGGACTTAATATCCCTTTTCTAAAAATCTTCCATTTGCGACGGATCAACCCACCTTGGAAATTCCTAGTTTTTGAGTAAAATCTATATATATCTATTTCGTGAAAATCTTGTGGAGATGTATTCATCTATAGAAATTGCCTTTTGGAGACTTATAATACAATCTTTTGTTCCCTATTGTGTGCACGTCTCCAGAGGGCACGGTGTATCAGATCACATAGTCCCAATCAAATGTGTACATTTTGTGCATCAAAATGTATACAATGTATACAATTCACATTTGAGTATAAAATGCGCAATTAGACTTGAGTTCCTCAATTTTGCAATCTCAATTTGACATGACATCTGTACACACTGACCACACATGTACATGTGTCTATGTGATATGCAGTCATTCAATTCTGAACAAAAATTCAAAACCTTTCCATTTCATCCAAAAAATCATGTTTCTAGACACTAAACAGCGTCACAGACACTGTGGTTGAATGACCCAATTTTGTAATTTGTGATGCTGCTGCAGCCTGCGCACTTCACTGGCATATAATGTTCTCAAACAGGTTTCAAGTATTGTAACAATACCTTCTGTCTGCATAATATAAGGAGTGACTACATGTATTCCTTTCTTTCTTTTTTTAATTGAAAAACATTGTTCCACAATCAATAAAGTTGTGAAATGAGTCAATGTCTTACAATCCATGCCAAATGATGACAGAATACATCACTTCATCAATTTATTTTAGTGACCCAAAGTCAAACTTCTAATCAAAAGCTTGTAACTGTGTAACCCTATCCACCCCAACCCTTCAAAATCCAACTGCATGTTTCGCGTGATCCTGTTGGAGCGAGTACTGCCCTAGTAAACTGATTATGCTTATTAAAATTGCATACCACCATAATCTGACTTCAGAGTGCAACAGTTTGGGGGTTGAGTTGTTGAATTTTGCACAAGAGTGAGGAAGGTTCCTAATAAATCACTCAAGGGGGTTAAGGTTTAAGAAGTGTCTTTAAAAAAATGTAAAATACATTGTAGAAAGCTCTGGGGTACATTTTCATTTAGGTTTTTGTAAATAATGACCGAGTTCTCAGCTGGTTTTGTGGCAATTTTCTTAATTTGTATTAAAATTGTCAAAATGTACTCCCATGACACGTCTGTATACGTGTATAGTGAAGAATCACCCATGTACATGTACAGCACAGTGCTAGAAATGTACAGGTCACACATAATGATACGTACAATTGAACTCGGACCGCAACTATCGACCATGCCCCAGAGGTTCGGACTATTCCCCTGTCTTCAACACTAGAAACCCTCAAATGTACCTGAGGCAGTAGAGTAGGATTTCAATTTGATTAATGGACTTCTTTTGGTAATGGACTTCTGAAAACCTTGGGTTTAATTACAGATTTTTGCCACAATTTAGATCTAAACTTGCATATTGGGGTCCAAATCAACGATTCTTTTTGGCCAACAACATACATACATGCATATACAATGTATATCCATGGAAATGGGCACACTTAACTAAATTATCCAAAAATACACAAATTGTATTAAATTAGATTGCTCATGTTTTTCTTCTTCGTTTTCTGTCAAAACTGCGATAGATTTACATTTTTCACAAAGTGCCACGTTAAAATGAAGATAGGGTACAATATTTTTAATGCTTAGTTAGAGGGGAAAATGATACACACATGTAGGATAAAATGCGAGTGAAAACCTTATAGTCCATATTACTTCTTGGTCATCACTGGCATGCACATACACGTAAATTGAAGACATGGCTTTTGTTTGTTAAAATTAATCATCATCACAGCTGGTGGCGCTGTGCATCTTGATACATGATTCATCATCTACGGATAATTCCACATGCAAGTTAGTTATGAAAATTCGGGGGGGGGGGGTGTCAAATACAATCATAACGTACATGAATGTCTTGAAACATTTATCAGTGCACAAGTTTACATAATTTACTAATTTTGTAAGTGTATAGTTCATTCATTATATATAGGGCCTAACATTTGGCACGCAAATACATACATGTATGTACATACATATACATGTATGTCAAAATTCTGTTTTATTTCTTGGGGGGGGGGGGCGGGGAGTGGAGTTAAGTACTACACTGCCCTTAAATTATGGTCAGTGTGCTGCGCAGAAATATACACACATACATGTACATGAACATGTAATGTACATGTACATGTACTTAGATGCATTAGCTCCATACATTACTGGAACTAGAACTTACACTACTACCAAAAACAGGTAATCACAATATAAATTTAACGACAACTTTGAGGATTGGAGAAAACAAAAATGTACTTTCTTCATACAGGCTGAGTAACTAGAGTACATGTACATGTACAGTGTACATGTAGGATATTCACTGAAGTAAAATATATATATTTATGTGGAGAAGATAACTGAGTGTTTTTTTTTCCATATGCCAGACACTAAAAATGCCAAACTTTAAAATTCCGCCAGAACGTGTGTATGATACACATAACTTCACATTCACAAAATTTTACAACATCATTCAATCTACTCTGTGCACACTCGCTGGCCAATTTCTATGCAATCACACAGTTGTTGATATTAGATTTGTATTAAAAAAAGGAACAATTGAATCATGATGTTGGACTTTTACCGACATGCACTATACGGCGTGCCTGGGAATTTAGCATGACATTGTGTTAAAATCAGGGTATCATTAGAAAATGTTAGTTGAATGTTATTCCAGTCGTTTATCAGTTGCGAGCCATCATTTTCTGAGCCAAAGCTTGTCAATGTTTAACAAAGTGTCAAGTCCGATTAAATGCAAAGTAGAGAGCTCTCGCAACAGGTGTTATCGGAGTGTTATCGGAGTGTTCACAATGGGGAAAACTATTTCTGTGCTAATGTTTTTTTCAACTTGATGTTTCTAATCTGAAGATGGCACTTAAGTGTTAATTAACAAGTCCTAAAACCCTGATCCTCCCAAATCCTCTTTGCAAAATGGAGGATTTTGCAGGATTGAGGCTACATGTATACATGTATGGCAAAAATGTTTGGAGTTTGGATGCTGCACTGTGTCAAGGTCTTGTGCTGGACCTTGCATTGTTTATGCTCAGCCGTGCATACATTTAGGCCTATATTATACTTGAAATCCTCCGCACTGCTCCAGGATGACACTGGCTCTGCCTCAACATATTGACAGTGATTGCTAGAGTATTTTGCAGGATTGAGGTTGCACCTCCTAGGGAGTGAGGGTTAATCAAGTTTCATTTTATAAAAGCATTTTGTCTCGATTAGTTTGGATTTTCAGAGCAATTGTCTACTTGATTTCTTGAAAATGAAGTTTTACTTCGAACCAGAAAGCAAAGATTGTGTAAATGTAGTTGTTGAATTATTGGAAATTGTTAACTTCCGCCAATAATCTGGGATTCACATCTTTTTGAGCCCCACCGAAATGGCATCGTGACAGCGCCCGCAATGAGCCGATTTGTTGGGCTGCCTGGAAGACTCACCTTGTTTGGAGACAAAGATGTCATCGTTGCCTGGTCGAATGGACCACAAGGAGAAACAGGAGTCCAGCCGCCTGTCGCATACGATGCTCTTGTTGTCCGGCAACACCACTCCTACAACTTCATCTACCTCCGTCGCAACGTTACCACTGATTTTCTCGTTCTTGTAGGCACAGGTATAGCCTGATGCTTGGCAAAGAAGCAGCCCTGTATTGGAGTGAAGTAATGTGACATTTTGTAAAATACAGCACGACTTAAAATTGTCTTAATCCTAACCCCTTCGGTGGTTTATTAGGAACCTTCCTCGCTCTTGCGAAATCCAACAACTCAACACCCAAACTGTTGGACTCTGATTATGGTGGTATGCGTGACCCAATGTAAAGCATAATCAGTTGACTAGTGCAGTACTCACTCCAACAGATTCCGACAAAACATGCAGTAGGATTTTGATGGGTTCAAGGTTTTAGGGTTAATATCACTTGCATTTAGCAGTAAATTAAGGAACCGGTGATAAATTATTGGCGGGATATTTTTATCAACATTCTGAGGATATACCACCAGCCACTGCACATGTAGCTCACATGGAATTCTGCCTTGGAAGTTTGCTGAAAGATTGAATTTGTTAAACAGGAATTTTTGTTCAGCCAAACAGAAAGAATCAAACCAAGCAGATTTAATGTGCATATGATTATGCACAACTAACCACCCCCCCCCCACCCCATCCCCAATTTAATGGTAACTTCTAATTCTGCAACATAACAGACAACTACTGAACCTTATCTGATAGGTTTCAGCCTGTACACACTTCTTCACAACAGTTTGAGCCACCCTTAATTTCCAGTAGCTTAAAGATAAATATTTGTACCAATACAAAGCTAATGGTTTGTAATAAAACTGAAACCATAACGTACTGCTTCAACGGGAAACAAAACCCCTGGATCTGGAATTCAGTTAATATTAGAAATTTAGCTTTTTGTTAGTGAAAACAAAATTGAACGAACACGCTGTGATAACAATTAACATTCTTCTCAATGTATGTTTAGGTAAAATAGAGACTGAAACTTCACCTCTGTGGCATGCTTTCGGAACCCTTAAATAGAAAAAATAACATACAAAAATTATAAAACTTGCAATTATTTTTGGTACATTGATTTATTTCAGAAAATCACCCACGAAAAGGAATTTATGGAAACTGAAATATCGCCTGACATGAAGAGATATATAGTGACAAAAACTGACCTTTCACTTCCGAAAAACTAAATTACACATGGACTAGTGGAACTCGTTGTACTTGTACAAAGACAAAAATTTACGAAATAATTTTGTGGTGGTCATTGGGTGAAAACTGCAACTTGAATAGGAGACTATTAAAAGTGTCTTTTAGGATGTATACAATTGTTTTTAATAAACTTGAAGGACTCGTTAGCATTTTTTTTTTAAATTTAAATGACCGCAGTTAAGGACTGCATTCAAGCCAGAGCGACTAAATATACAACCAATCAGCAGTAGATATTCGCGTTGTTAAATACATTCTATTTATTACGCAATTACGCAATGTGAAAACAAACGTGAACGAACAAGGAGACCTAGGAACGAAAATGCCAGATGTGAAAGGTCGTAAGTAAAATTCGGTTTTACCCATCTAAAAGTGATTTCTCGACATTGTTTTTTTGAGGAATACCAAGATGTTTCTTGGGGTGATTACAGCTAGAAATCATTCTGTCAAAAAATCATAGCGAGAAAAAGGGCAACCTAGTGTAAAATGCCCACAGGGAGGTTCGTCGCTTGCCCTTTTATTTTCAGGCTCTATAAAAAAAAAAAAAAAATTAAAAATTTACTTACCAAATGCAAGAGCAGAAAGCAGAAACGGACTAAAACCAGCCATTTCAATGTTTTTGTGTAGGAAGGCTACTTTTCACCTAAAAACAGAAACATGAAGGAACACGATTGAGTAAAATCAATAGAATTATTAAATCAATAAAAGTACATGTATAGTCGGGGTGCTAAACTTCAGCATGGCGGCATACAATTTCAACAGGGTTGCCTACAATTAATGGTCGCCCCATGTATGTTTGAACATGTTGAACTTGAACATTTGCATCGCAATGATGGGCCGATGGGGAACAGAATTTTAAAAAAGACTTTTTTAGGACCCTGTTCCTATTCGAGAATGAAAACGTACGGCCTGTAGTAGCTCTTTTAGGTCATCTTGTTGTGCAGTAGACAACAAGAATGTGGCTCTTTTAATTCTCCTGGATCTGTCAGCTGCTTTCGATACGATCGACCATCAAATACTTCTGCGCAGACTGCACGACGACTTCGGTGTTAGAGGGGTTGCCCTCAGATGGTTCCAGTCATATCTACGTGATCGATGCCAAGCTGTTATCATCCACGGAACCTCATCACAGATGGTAGATTTAAAGTTCGGCGTTCCACAAGGATCGGTCCTCGGCCCTTTGCTGTTCACACTCTACACCACTCACATTGGTCGAATCGCTCACTGTCATGGTCTGGAGGTTCACCTGTATGCCGACGATACACAGCTATACATATCATGCAATCCAAACTCCCCCGGCAGTGAAGAAGCAGCAATCAACCATTTGACATCGTGCGTAAACGACATCAAGTGCTGGATGTCAGCGAATTTGCTGAAGCTGAATGATGAAAAGACAGAGTTCCTGGTCATTTGTCCCCCTCGTCTTAGAAGCAGGATCAACATACAGCCAATACAGATTGGTGATGCCCTCATAGCTCCCTCCCAGGGTGCCAGGAACCTTGGCGTATTTTTCGACCAGAATTTGACCATGGATAAGCATGTTTCAAACATTTGTCAATCATCTTTCTATCATCTCCGGAATATCGCAGCAATCAGAGGTGCACTTACAAGCTAAACTGCCGAGTGTCTTGTCCATTCCCTTGTATCATCACGATTGGGATTGGATTTCTGCGATAACTTGTTATCTGGTCTACCACAGCATATCATAAACAAGCTACAGTCGGTTCAGAATGCAGCTGCTCGCCTGATAACTGGAACCAAGAAATACCACCACATCGCACCAATACTTCATCAACTTTACTGGCTGCCCGTTCAGTTCAGAATTCAGTTCAAGATCATCTTTCTCACTTTCAAGGCACTTCATCAACTGGCTCCAATCTACATCCAGGACCTGATACACCTTCGCAATGTGAGGCCTGGTCTGCGGTCCTCCGCTCTCACACTCCATGTTCCCATATCCCGCCTTGCCAGCTACGGAGACAGAGCCTTCTCTCATATTGCAGTTGCACCCCGTCTATGGAATTCACTACCGCTTGACCTCAGAACACAGCATAATCCATCATCCTTCAAACCACAGCTCAAGACTCATCTCTTCATCCGGGCATTTTGACTCCTGGACTGACTTTCCCTTGCAAAGACCAGCGCCTTTGAATGGCATTTTGTCAGATAGTGCGTGCTATATAAGTGCTGTTTATTATTATTAGATATGCAGTGGAAAGCAGGCGGTGTTCTGATTTTTTTAGGCAAACTCTGTTTCATCTATACACCTTCAAATGAAATCTGACCTGAGCACGTTTGTACATGTACTGTAGCTCGATTGTGTAAACGTTCGACTATCTGGATCAAATCCAGGATCAAATTTGTGATGTTGGAGATATTTCGATTTTTTTTTTTTTTTTTTTTTTTTTTTTAGTTTTCATTACTTTTAAGTTTTATGTTTTAAATTTTAATCAAATTCTACTTTTTACTGTTCAAGTACATGTACATGTAACCTAGATACCAAAAAAAAAGACCCTTAGGCCTAGGCAACAAAAAATAAGGCAAAGGGCCTACTCTACTGTTTTGAATACAGTCAAACAGAAATTAGAAGCCAGAACTTTGTCATTTCTTTATGATTTATTTTGGAACGATGAAAGCACTTTCTAAGAACTTTAACTTGAAAGACACAAAATGCATGAGGGACTCTTATCAGAATTGTAGTAAAAGAAGCCACATGTAGGCATATTCAATAAATTTTAAGTAATTTAAAGTACAATAAACTGTTACTCAGTCAGTGTTAGTGCGGGTCCCTCACTTTTTCCACACAGGCTAACCTAGCTGCCATGCACGCATTGTGTTTTTTATGGGTAACTTGTTTACGTATCACTAGTCACTAGCCTACTCACTCACTCACACTACCCGACCGTACCGTACTACGGGTGCGTACGTACCCGGTGCAGGCCTACGGGACGAGTCAAGTCCATCCAGCAAAATAGTTGGATTTCATTCAGTCAGTAGAAGGTGCCGACAAATTCACCTTTATCTCCCATCCTCCCAACGTTTAAATGGATTCTCTTCAGTTCGGTTATCCGTGTCTCGAATTTAACAGATGGAACTAACGTGAAGACTCGACTAAACTTACTCAAACGTCAACATTTCTCGGGCATTTTCTTTCACGTTCATAATTATTTGCGTTCACATCAAACACCTGAACACTGTGCAAAATTGAAGCAGTCTGTTGCCTGGACCACATTTGTATGCATGAAGACGTAAATAGACTTGGGTGCCAGACATCGAGTTTGACCGCAAATGTCACGACTCGAAAAGCGTCTACGGACGCATTACACCGTTACTGTCTGGTGCATACACCATGAACTACATCGTCCCGATAACAATTCTACGAAAAGTTATTAAATTTTGTCCAAAACGATATTTCTTCTTTACTGAGACTCATCCGATCTCTGACCTTGAAGTTAGTTGCTTAAAAAGTAATTAAAAAGCTATAAAAATTGTAAATTCTTTTCAATGCCACTGGGCATTGGCGTCAACAGGACATCGTGCATGGCGGATGAATATTATTGTACAGGCTAGAGGCAGTGTAGTGTTGTTGGACCCGGGCCCCCTTATCGAATGCTGGCCTAAATTTAATTCTTTTAATATTAATAAAAGGTACGGTTTTTGTTCGTTTTAAAGTATTTACAATCATTTACTGTTTGAGTACATTTACCGTGTCATTTTCTGGAGATATTTCCATCTTTTTTCTTTCATTATTATTGCGGACATAGTTTGGAAATCTCAGTGAATTATTCTCTTTTTATTTACATTACATTATCCCACCGTGCGCGCAACGACTCGGAGGGTGTTTTTGTTTTAAAGATAATCTGTTCATCGCTCTTCCAGTTAACAGATCATTTTATCAACTTTCATACCTTTTAATGTTGACGAAAACACAGCTATCTTCTTTAGACCCCTTTAGTCTGAGGATCAGACGGTGTTTGTTCCTCTGTAATACGCATGAGACACATTTTGCCTTCATTGTCACTGTCCTCTCGGTGAGGGCGTAGGATTACGTATCATGCAAGGCGTCTATCGCAGTGGCGCACCCGGGGGTGGGCCTCGGGGGGCTTGATCCCCTGAGAGGTTGTCAATTGTTTTATTTTTTTTTAGTCCCACGATTTGGCCTTGGTGAATATGGCCTGTTTTCGAGTAGTATAATAGGGATGTAAGTGGTCAAAATAGGCCGCCCCTGAAAAAAACCAATTTTTTTTTTCTGCGGCCAAAAATTTTGGGCAACATTTTTTGAAAAAAAATTCAACTTTTTAACAAATTTGTAAAAAAAAAAAAAAAATTGGGGCCCCCTCCCCAAAAAAACCAAATCCCGGGTGCACCACTGGTCTATCGTGAGCGTCTGCAATTCGGCCGCGGAAAAAAGGCTTATAATAATTGAAAATTATTAGGACTGCTGCAAACTGCTTACTGACTGGATTGACCTGAAATATACAAATCTAAAAAAATAAAAAAATAAAGTGGTCTGACGTACGTGTTGCGAACTTCACAAGTCCTTCAGAGGCAAAATGACAGAGGTGCAATTAGGCCCCACAAGCATGTGGGATGTTTTCGCGCCTATTACGGCCAACAATTAACGATGTCCCTGAATTCTTGTGGCGCAGCTGCAAAAAATGATCATCGGAATTTGTAAAGTAATTATTTTTCACTAGTATTTGGTTTTCCGTACGGTGTCACAATCAAAAAGTGAAGGCCCAATGGGGCTGAGAAAATGGTATTACACTAAATACAAGAAAAGGCAATTCGGAAAAAAATACGGACATATATATTTTACGTTTTCACTTTTTTATAATTTTTGGTTTTCCGACTTCCATCAGATCAAGTTTATTCAGATAGAAATGGGAAAGGAATACATTAATGCTTATCCTCCCCTCCCCCCCCCCCCCCCCCTCCGTTTATAACCTTGAATTGAACCAAAAAATAATAATTTGCCTTCAGTTCACCCTCGACAAATTTGTGCACCCCTAGGTGACACCCCCCCCCCCCCCAAATATGGCCATAATATGCACAGCCATGAGTCGTTGCCATGTCTTGACTCTGGACTTTCGAAAGCCCGGTTGAAGACGTATTTTCCAGTAGTTTTCCTGTGTTTTCCGGTGTTTACCGGTATACAGTAACACCCTGATTTACACTTTACACACTAGTTACAGGACTTCCAACAAATTTAACGAACACCCGTCCCGGCTAGGCCTAAGTAGTAAGTACTAAGAGGTTACCCAAAACCGCTTGGCAAAAGCTTCCACAAATAGGTTTTGTTTGTAGTTTATTTTTGCTTTAGAAGCATAATCACCCTCTTTATATGAGACGTCACCTTTTTGGAACAAATGGACGGCATCGTTCGAGAAAGGCGCTATGCTAGCAATCACAAAAACAAGTGATCACAACTTACACACAAGGAGCGCATGTTTGCCAGTAGAGGGCCGGACACTTCCAAGTCGTAAACATGGGGCGTGGGTATTTTGCGGAACTCGGACGTGCAGACCTCTGCGGAACTCTGCAGAACTAGGAATATAACACCAAATTAAGATTAAATACTGGCTTTAAAAGTACAGCAAGGGCCCAATCTCATTCTTAAGTCCCAAAATCCTCATAAATATACCCTTAAATTAGTTAAAATAAAAGATATCCCACCTGTTTGTGCCGTCGTACCGTACGGTATAATAATTGTGTGTAGTATTTGCAGAACAGTGCAGATTACATGCTGTAATACATGCCGTTTACAAACCAGGGGTGCAGTGAAACTCAGTGCTTTGTGAAGCACGTGTATTAAACAGTTGATAAGGGGATGATGTACTGCTGCAGAACGAATTCTGCAAAAGTAACATTTTTGGAATTATCGTAATGTTTTATTTGTAATGTCGACATTTGTCTTATATCCTCGACAAATCCTCTCCTTTTTTCTTTGGACAAAAAAAAAAAAACCACGGGACAGCCCTCTACTAAGAGTTCCATGTTTCACCCAGGCAGCGCGATAGATGGGTACAGGCCTCAGAGAGTTCCGCGTTTTAAACAGGCAATATGATGTACGGTATGTACAGTAACGGGTCCGATGCTGTGGGAGGGGGCATCTTTATCGCTACACAACCAACATTAAAAATATCACAATTTTTTTATTTTAATGTGGATAAGTGTATTATATCCTCAATAACTCGAAGCCCTTACGGCGTGGGGTCCGGGGCCCGCTTTTTTTTTAAACCTTCAAGTTCATGGCCCAGAAAATTCTCTTATATAGCAAAGAATTTCAGGGTACACAAAGTGTGATTTGTAGGCATTTTTCGAACTATATTTTATACCGGTCTGCACCCATAAGCTGAAGCCGTAGTTGGCATCATGTTTTGCCCCCCCCCCCCCAAAAAAAAGCCACAAAACACCCCATTACATAAAAAAAGACATGTTTTGGAAGTACTTTGTTATTTTGTGCAGTGTTGGAACTTCCAGTTTGGAAACCGTCCACGCGACATGTTGTAACATTAGGCCTAAAGAATTACCTAACTTCTAATAATGATACAAAAAGTTAAGCATTGATCGAATGTACTTGTATTTAGTATAAGTAATATCACGGCAAACTTGTATGTGAGCGGGTTTTGCATCGATCTTTTGTAAATCTATCATGACCCTGTTAGAGCGTGTCGTTCTATTCTTTAAACAAAAGATTCGTAATATTTCGTAAGTATCGTAGAGTACCCAAAACTTTGCGCTTACAAATATTCGCGCAACCAACTTTCTTGGCTCGTATCTTGTTTCCACGCAACACCTCCGTCAATATGTTATTCCCATATTCTGGTACATTAGTTTCAACTTTTTACTATTATTGTTTTTGAAAAATCTATGTTGGGGATTCTACGTACACATCCTTACTCGACATGTTATGACTTTATAAGCGACGACTTATTAGTCTGGCAGCTAGGTGGAGTTTCAATACCAATTTGAGCACAAAAGGTTTTGTGGTATGTCGGGGAGTATAGTTCCGAAATGGTCATTCTTTAGTTGCCTTAGGTCGGATCAAGTGGGTCAAGGGACTTCGGTAAAAAGTCAAACATTAAGAGTTTAATTAACATGTCGCGCACAGGTGCGCTTTTTTGGATTAAAGTGTTGAGACTCACCCCATGAGACGAAAAACGCAGCTCAAGAATGGAAGGAGTCGGATACATTTTTTTTTTTAATTAGGGTTATCGTCCACAGACCGCTGGGTCCGGGTTTCGAAACGGACGTCGCCGTGCATTTAAAGTTTGATTTCCTATACACGCGCTCATTCAATTAGGGTTAATAAGAAATGAGAATAAAAGAAATGGAGAGGTTCCTATTTTTTTAATCCTAATATGAAACACACGCAATTAAAAAGAGCTGTTTCGGGGAACTTCGTTACCAAAACAGCAAATTTTGAGCGGACTACTTTTCGTAAGTTGCACTCCCAAAACAAACTGCGCGTAGGCTTGACCGTTTTACTTGAATAGCGCCCTCAATCAACTAAAAGTAATCACGCAACCCGATCGTCATTGCACACTCACACTGTACAATTATTATGTAATCATTTACCATTCTTTCTAATCACAACAGCAAAGAACCTCTTTATTTTTCTTAATCCAAATATGAACACACGAAACTAGCAGGAGCTGTTTCGGCGAGCTACGTCGCCGAAACAGCTAATTTTGCTCGAACTACTTTTCGTACTTATACCTTAAACCAAACCTGCGTAGGCTTGACCGTTAAACTTGCATAGTGCCCTCAATTGTATTGACTGAGAGTATCACCACAAGTAATCGTCACTCAACAATTTACTCGGTAATAGAGTTCTTTCCAATTGCTACAGTATACCAAGGAATTCGAACACACCTTACTTTTTCTTCCAATATCGGGCGTTACACTATTGACAGCGCACTCTGTTCCTATTTTTTTTTTTTTTTTAGCGCGTTCATTGTTACGCCGAATTGCCTATTCAACTTCACTCTCGATGTAGGAACCACCCCTCTCTCAAACTATTCTTCTTTTGTTTCTTTTTTCGCAATTAACCGTTCGTTTCACGTAGCGCGACCGTTCAGTACCGGTACTGGTCTCGCACACATTGTATAAGGCCAAATCCACAAAACAGCGGTTGTTTTTTTAGGCTGGGCCAAACATTATTATGTTCCCCGAAAAAGTGGGTCCAAAATTTCCGCCCCAAATTCGATATCAAAAGC